CCGCCGGGGGCTGAGGGGCACCGCGTGGCCACACACGGAGCTTCTCCAAGCACCCTGGCCTTGCAGAGGGGTATCTGGCTCTCCCCGGAGAGCTTTAGGACAAACGGCATCGCCAGCCGCCGTGAAACCGTCCTCTCCGCTGAATTCCAGCTGCTACAAAGACTCCCTGAAAAACGCAAACTTTCTCCCAAGCGTTTGTGAGCCTTTTGTCTTGTTCTTGATTAATCCTGATTGGTCCAGGCACCCAAAAAAGACCTCTATTTACAAGATTTGCTATTCCTACGCGAAACGGGATACCTCCTATCTTTTCTTGATAGTTTACAAACTGGACCCAAGGGTTTGCTTCAGGAGGAAGCCAGCTGGGACGGACCCACGGCCGAAAGCACCCGCTGCAGGTTCCTCAGACGTCTCTGCCTTTTCCATCTCTAAGCTACCCCAGAAGGGCTGACGCCTACGAGCTGAAGGAACGTTACATGAGGGACACCACAGGGAGGGGAGGGAGGCACTGAACTCCCACGGCACAGCCCCACTCTGGCACCCGGGGCTAAACCAGAACACGGACTTTTCTACGTCTCACTGCAGACAACCGACGTGCCGATGCCCCGAAGAGCACTTCGCCACGCCTCAGGGCGGGCCAAGGGGGTTCCCCACGTACGGTTACAGCAGCCAGAAGATTATTAACGGCATCAAGGCTCTTCGTAATGAAATATATTTCTGGCCCATGAGAATTCTTCATGTCTTTTAGCCCCGTACCCCCCTACTCCATTGGGAGCAGATCTCTGACACTACACACATCTCCCAAAGGCAGGTCACTGTCCCGATGCTCGGGCGGGCACCAGGGGACAGCAGCTTCCCAGCAGGATGTCTGGGTGACCACAGTTAACCTCCTCCGAGCTTCTGCTTAGGCAAGGAAGCAACACCCTCAGACAAAGTGGTTGGCACGGAGACTGTCGGGCTGAACTGAGGACAGACCCAACATCCCAGGCCAGGAGTCCCACACTAAGTCTCTCCAGTCATACCACGACCAGAAGAAACGCAACAAGTGTCCACGTACCAGAATATTTTTACCTGGGAAGCCAAATCCTGAAGAGACGAAGTTATGAAGCAGCCCCGTGAGGTTAGCATTCCATTCACTTCCCCGCAGGACCAACACCCGCCGTAAATCTCACCCCACACGTACAATCCACCCCCCCCTTTCTCGCTTTAAACACACCGCTCACAAATTAAGGTAGACCCGTCCACAGATCCAACAGGTTGCTTACCATCTGAGGCAGTACAGCGTGATGCCAATTCCCAGAGGACTAATCCCATGGCGTACATATCTATCCTCAAAAACGCATCCCTTTGGAAGTTGATAGCACCTTCTAGTACCTCAGGAGCCATATACCTTCGTGTACCAACCTTGAGAGACAGGAGAGCAGAGAAATTGGTATTTGGAAAGAATCAACAGGACCACAGTGACCACTCTAGCTGGTGCCCATCGTAATAATACTGTAGACTGGTGCTAATTGTTTTTAGAGACTAAACCTAGCCAGGGTTATCCTTGCTTAGGACTAAACCTTGGAAGTCTCTTGTGTTCCTCTATCCAACAGTAGGTAAGAGGAATTAGGAATAATCCTCTAGACATATTTATTTATGTTTATTTATATTTATATATAAGAATACTTACAAAGCAGGAAAACGTGAATAGATTTTAAAATAGCACATTTCACAACAACTCAGCACGTTTGTCTCTGCCATCCCTTGCTTTATGTAGCTGCTCAGGTGAGGATGGCCCTGCTCGCTGCACCGGGGTTCCACCAGACGACCTCTGAAGGTCCCTTCCAACCCAACCCATTCGATGATTTTCTCCCCAGTTACAGGAAGGCCGCTACTTTTAATTTCTTCGTGTCACAAGGATGTGAAACGTGCTTCTATTCCTCCCCGTGAGAGAAGCAGTAATAAAAACACCAAAGGAAAACTCGCTACCGGCGGGCAGTTTACACCAAGAAAAGTTACATGAAATCACTCACACAAAACTGGCTGTGACATGAGAACTCTGGGGATAGATATCCCTTCTTTTTGGCCCCAGCCAATGACGAAATCATGTCACCTGACTAAATCAGACCTCACATGATGTCTGAACAAGATCTCCCCCACTAGTTCCACCTTGGTGCTGATGGCTGCGTTTCTCCTCAGCAGCGTTACTGAGGTTTTATAATCTTATTGGAAGGATTTTATTTTCATCACTCAACCATAAACTGTGAAGTTCTGCCTAAAATGAAATAGATTTAGTTTTCCAGAAACCATCGTGTTCTAAGCTCCAGGTTGTTATTTCATAAGCACAGGGTACTCAGACAGCTCCCTGCTGTATGACCAGTGCTCGACCAGTGCTGTTGTTGTCCCAGGACAGCGACTGTTGCTAGGTCAGAAAGTTGGGAACTGGCTGCCAATGCCTCGAGTTCTGAACAGGATCTCAGAACAATTAGTGACATACAGCAAAACCACTCTTTCTTCTCCAAATCCTCTAGTAAGAATGAAAATAAGGGGGAGAGAGGCGCCATGCAATGAGATGGGGGCGGGGGAAGGCTGTGGTCTCTAATTATCTAAAGAATTGTTTAATTTTTAGCCTGTGAGAAGAAAGCACAAATCACCAGCTTCCTTAAGTCACCAAAAATAGGCTTCAGGATATAGTACCCTGTGCACGAAGAATGCCTAAACTACCGATTTCCCATCAAATGCAGTTAACTGTTGGGTCACTTCTGTAAATAAATCAGTACTTACCTGTCCATGCGTATCCCCTGCAGACTTTCCAGCCTCAAACTTTAAAGCTAGACCGAAATCAGCAATACAAGCTGTAAGATTATTTTTCAGCAGCACGTTCTTGCTTTTGATGTCCCTTCCAAGTTAAGGAAAACAAAAATTAGAGCTCTAGAACATGAAATACCATCCAAAGTTCTAAGGAGAAAGTAACATAGTAAACCAAAGAGTATTATCCCTGCCCAGGTGGGGGGGGCCTGGTGTTACCCCTGGCAGGGGGGTTGGAACCAGATGATCTTTAAGGTCCCTTCCAACCAAAACCATGCTATAGCTGTAATACAAAGGCAAGAAAAGTACAAAGCAGCAGTCCATTTAACAACGAAGGAGTACTAAAACCTAGGAGTACACTTGCACAGCTTGGTTCTTACAGAAATACACGAGGCAGCCATCAAACTATCCTTTTGTGCTTAGTTTTAAAAGACATGCAGGTTTGTAAGCGTGTATGACACAGAAACAGAACGAAACTGTAGCTCCTGCGTACTTGAGTTACAACTACACTTGGTTTAAACAGGAAACAGAACAGGGATTCCCATCTCTCCCGTGTGTACCTCGCCCCCTCCTCCGTTGTAGCACCAATCAAGCAGTTGGGCTCATGAAGTTCTGCAGAATTCCGTTTTCTCTTACTCTCTGTACCTATCTTTTAGTTTGGTTACCGCTATCATTTCACTCCCTACAGCTTTTCACACTTACCCCATTTAAGAACAAACAGCAATTACAGTCAACAACAGGCAAAACACCTCTTACAGTCAGTGTTTCTGTCTGAAGGCATTCAGTGTTACCTGAACTTAGACACACAAGCGCTTAAGTCGTTTCAAACAGCTATACTGCTAATTATTTCCCATGCTGCAGAGGGTACCTAAGCAATTAACTGCATAAAAAAAGAACTGATGACATTAAGCACAACCAGCACACCAAGCTCTATGAACCATCAGCTAGATTTTTTGCTTAGGCTGAGCAGAGTTTTCTGAATGAAACCCTCGATAATTCCGGAAGGGAGAATTACTGGAATACTTCCTGTCTATCCACACCTCCTACCCTTGAGCTCACAGTTCAAACACTAACAGGCACCTGGAGGTATTCTGCATGTACTGTACCTATGGGAGATGGCAGGTTTGTGCCCGTCTTTTAGCCCTGGTATGTCCTCGTGGAGATAAGCCAGGCCTCTAGCCATCGTCTGAGCGATGTGACACAGCTCATTCCAAGAGACCACGTTCGCCTTGAGAAAGTCTGTTAATGAACCCTGCAGGGCAAAAGAGAAAAACAATTATGAGATGGATTTCGTTCCCATCTCCTCGTAAAGAACGCTCCTGGACGGCCTCCGCCACTACGGCACACGGGACGCCCGCCTGCCCCTCTCTCCTCTGACAGACCACGTACTCATACACGTGCACACGCGAACCCCCGCTACTTTAAACACCACAAAATTAACCGCTGCATCCTCTCCAGTCCACAAACAGGATCGAGACGCATCTAGATATCACCTCAACAGGCACACAGGGCAATGAACTCAAGTTCAGTGGCACGCTTGACAAGGAACTGCCTGTAAAGTGCTTTTTATGAAGACAACCCTGCTTTTAGAGGCACAATTTATCATCTTCCAGGCGTTAGATCCACCTTCAATCTTGCCGAGCTGTGCATGAGGATTCTTTAGGCCCTTTAACTGACAGTCTGTCTTTTCCTATGGACCAACAACAGTAACCTTCAGTTTCACATCACCATTTCAGAGGGGAAAAAAACCCCACTCTGAATAAAGAGACACTGTAAAGTAAAAATTATTCAACATAAAGCTCTTCTCTTCAAACTCACTGCTCTAGCCCACTCTATACACACATTTTCACGGATTTACATATTATCCAGTTTGTGAGATGTCACGGTGTCACACGTTGCTGCGTGAAAAGCCAACACAAAAGGGAACAGTGAACAAAGGCCTGTCAAAGCGTAAGGCTACACTTTGAAAATAAAAAACCTAATAATTGTATTTTCCATCAATTAAGAGTCATCTCGGATACCATCTTTCCAAGAGTAACAAGATTTTTAAAACTCAGACAAAAAAACAACCAACAAAAAGGCAATAAGCCTTTAGAAAGGCAAATGAGTTTGGTATGATCTACTTGATCATGAAGATCTGTCAAAAAATTTAAGTAGTTGGATAGTATTAGTCTAAATCATTAAAGCAGAGGCATAAATGGGACAAAAATGCCAGAATGAAGAAAGTAACACTCCATACTAGAAATACGATCTATGACTTAGCCTTAACGCATCAGCATGTCCGTATCGTACAGATTTGTATTTTCTCAAGTCTGCTACAGGTAACATCCTCCCAATGCCTCTTTGCCCGTGCCAGTGCTAAATTACAGTTTGGGTTTTGGCTTTTTTTGGTCTTTGCACTGACGTCCCTGTGACAGTTACATGTATTTAATAAAAAATAAATTAAGTGGACAGTGAACGTATTCTTAATGACATATATTTGTGTTTCTTACTGTGGTTATCACAATAGAATTGGGAAGTTGGCTTCATGCTCATACACTTGAGCCAACTAAGCACAACTAAAAAAAAAAATAAACCACCACAATCTCTGCAAGATGGAGTTGAATTTAGGCAGGCTTAGACAGGGGATAGTCAAAAATACATGTTCTAAAAAGGAAAAAAGCAGGATGAGTTTTTGTTTGTTTTCTGAAACTACTCCTCTATTAAGTAACGACCGATGACAACTTTCTCAGCTGGGCGAAAATAAATTTAAATAAATACATACCCAACGAAAAGAGACGAGCTAAGAGTAAACAAAAACTATTTTAAATTTTATTTCTTACCCGTCTCAAGTTCACAGCTGTGACAGATTTCTAAGGCTGTTCTTCCTCTGCCATAATCACAAAAAAAAAATCAAAACTACACTGAGAAGTAAACATACCTTTTCATGAAACGCTGTAATTAACCACAGATCGACATCAATGCTAGTGCCTCGTTTCTCTGCACCGATGAACTGCAAAATATTGTCATGCTTCATTCCAGGCAAACTGTAAATTTCATACTCGTTCTGCCACGACTGTTTGTCCTTCAAACAAAAGAACACATCAAACCCAGTTAATACCATAATAATTGGGAATAAGAGGCACGTTCCCTGGCAGAAGTTTCCTCCTACAATTTACTGTGCATTTGTAACCAGTCTGTCAAAATGACTAACCCCCTTTTTTTTTTTGGCAAGACAGGAGTTACCACCAAAAGGAAAGAAAGCACAGTCTGTGCTGTTAATATTATGAGGCTGATGATTTAAAAATTACAAATGTTTAGACCAGTATCGGTATTGGTGCTACAAACTACTGGCCCAACACACACAAGAACAGGAAACCCTGTCTTTCTTCACGTCCATTACATATTCACTCACATACAGAGGAAAATTGTCTGAAAAATTTGTTGTAAACGAACACCAAGTGTTGAAAACAACCTCAGCCACCACAGATAGGATCCCTGGAGTCCCAGAAAGCTGCAGATTAGGATCGGAGTCTACAGAACGTAAATCATTGCAACTGCTTTAGTCTTAAGAGCACGGTTCAGTTTTTACATTTTACTAATCCACAAGAAATTAATAAAGAATTAAACCCAGGTTTTCCTTAACTAAAATAATGAACAAAGTCTCAGATTTGATTTCTGATATGCTGGTTTCAGCCATCAGCACAAATATATGCCATTTCTCCTAGAAGAATAAGAACCTGCAGATGTATTTATTCAGCAAGTTGACGCGTGGTTAATCATCAGAAAACACAAGGCCACTTGTTCACCTCAAGCGGCAGTGGGTGGTTTTAATTCACGTGAAAACTATCCCAATATCCTTGTGTACGACCACTTTGTATTCTTTAACTAGACTGGATCTTAAAATGACAAGCACAATCTATTCTAAAACATGGCTTCCAGTGGGTATGTGCTGGGAAGTAAATACTATTTCACTTCGTTAAGGTGTATTTAATTGGAACAATCACCTTACAGGTTCCCATTTCAGGACATGACTTCCAAGTACAATTTAATTCGAAAAACACTAACAAATTCTTCTCAACTCATCGAGGGATGAGAGAGAGCTGCTTATGAACTCTTCATGCCAAACACGTTATTTTTATGACTAGAAACATACATAAATTTCAGAGTTTGTGTTTCAGTAACATGTTTGCCACGTAAAAACACTTACTTTAATTCAATAAAACTCTACACCTGCACTTTTTTAGCTCAATTTCTATCTAGACTTACAGCATATATTGAAAATTGTGTTATTGTGACTGGAAAAGCTGGTTTAGCATTACAGTACTCCAGGCAACACAGGACCCTCAGAACTCCTGCTTACCTGAATGGGGAATATTTTGACGGCAACATACTCATTCAGCAGTTGAGCTTTCCATACACAACCAAACCTTCCCCTAGCTTTGATCTCTAGTAACTGCAACGGCTTCAAACCCATCAACGGTGAAGGTGGTGGTGGGCCAGGATCCTGAAATCAGGTTAAAACCGTTAATTAGTTTTGCTATTAGGTGTGCTATCTATGACGACAGCACTAGTAATACAGGCTTGTAAACTGGGAGAGCCTTGTGTCACGTACCCAACCCACCCTTGCAACAAAGTCCCCCAAACAAACCAGAAACAAAACAGCAACCCTCCTCCAGAGGAAAGAGAAATGAGAGTGGAAAACATGCTCAGATCAACGTGCAAGCGACGGCATAACAACAGTTACACTAGAAATCTGTCTAACCCGGTGTAAAAGCACAGCAGAAACTAAGGAACAAAGATAATCAAGCTTTACTTGTTATTATTTTTTTTAAGGGACACGAGCACCTCTGATATATTTACGGGGTTGGTTGGTTTGAGGTACCTGTGACCTGCTTAACCCTCTAGCTCAGTGCCCTGGTGACTCGACTCTACCCAGCCCTCAGGTCCATCTCCGCGTGACCAACACCGCAGCCCTCAGCCGCCAACGTCTGCGTTGGCCATCGGGTTGGGGGCAGCGGCGCAGAACCCCCCTCCCCGCCTGCAGTTACCACGTCCTGGTTGAGCTCTCAAGCCACCGAGCCGCCGGAGGCACAGCTCTACTTCAAAACCTCCGCTGCTTACTGGGGACATCAGGGTGCAAACCAGTACGAAGGCAGGCCGCGCCACTGCAAGGTCTTCCAGGATGTTAACTAACACTTTTCTTCTCGTTCAGAAACCACCAAACCACAGGCACAGCCGCTGACGTTCGGCACGGGAAACCCAACGGCACCGCTGCCGCAGCCAGCCCTCCGAGCCGCGCGAGCGGTGCTGTGGGGAGCCACGGCCTACCGCTCTGCTCCCGACTGTTGCCAGTATCTCACTGAAATGGGGACACTCGGCCGGACCCCAGACGCAGAACTGGAATTAAACTGAAGAGATGACCTCGCCACATCTTACAGGGTCTGTACTTCGCTGAGGGGCTAGCTCCAAAATTCCTTTTCGGCTATGGCAGCACAAGCTGGAAAGCACGATGGCAAGTGCGATAGAGCTTCCACGCCGCTACCCTTATAACCACCAATCTTACCACAGATTGGAACAATTCCCCTTTCTGGCGAAGGGAATGCGACAGCTTATCAAATATCTGGTATTTTATGTGTTTTTACGCATCTCCAACCTATTCTGTATCATACACATCATCTGAATCTAACAAGGAGATGATTAGATTTATTACCAGAGATGGCTTCTTTCTGGGCTGGCCTTTCCTCGCCAGTCCACCATGCTGGATTAGCGCGTACCTATGGGAGCTTCTTCCCTACCACAAACAAACGCAGCAGACCCGTTTACCTATGCCTCTGCACCAAAGAATATTACTGCATGCATGGAACCACAGAAACACCATCTCTTCTGTCTCATCCCTGTTTTCTGCAGGGAAATAAAGTCAAGTTCCGGCACGCAGCAGTCACCGAGCAGAATGACCAATACTGTCACCACAAGATACAGCTCCACCTTCTTTCCACACCCCCCCAAAACTAGTTTAAACCACGATTTGTTCCTCAGTCAAAGCTGCTACAGAGAATTGAAAGTGTCAAAGCCTGTGGTGACGGCGTGGGGGCAGACTGCTAGATGACAGATGGGAAGAGGGAGAACGGCTGCTTTTAGAGGCAGTGCAGGTCTACAGAGACCACAAAATCCTACCACAAGTCTCAGTATCATATGTGGAAGAACCAAGCCTACAAACGAAAGGCAGGTACCGCTTGTAACTGACAGCCCTGCTGCAGAACGCAACGACAAAAACCCAGTTCGAAAAAGCCTCCGAAATGCATGCTTGGCTTCTCTGGTTTTTTTCCCCACTCACTCACAGCTGTAATGCTGTTTAAAGAGAAAGAATGAAAAATACCGGAGTAGTTGCTTCTACATAACCATTGAGTATTCTCATTTGTTAAGTATTTGGGCACTTCAGTTAGCAGCATGAAGATCTCGTGCGTCTTAAAGACATATTTTCTGAACAACTGCGGTTTTAAGTGTACTTTGCTATTGTGAGAATGAAGACAAGCGCTTCTGTATCCAACAAGTTTTGAGTAGTTTAAGTGCAGGAATATAAAAAGCATTCTCTTATTTCTTACTAAGCAACTAATACATTTTTCTGAAAAAAAAAAATAAAGTTTCATAGAGAGACAGATTTACAGCAACTTAAAGAAACTGTAACCTAATTCCACAAATTAATAACCGTAAAAGAAAACACAATGTTTGAAATTCAAATTAGAGACACATTACAATGCTATCCTCAAAAAAGCATGAAATCCTTTTTTGCAAATATGACAGGGACAGATGCTTCAAGTTGTGACATCAAAATCCCTGGGTTTAAACTGGACAAACCACAAAACAGCAAACAAAGTTTAAGAGTTCAGTATTCCCGTCCGTGCTGCCTTTCATTCAATGTCAAAGCCCTTTATGACCATTTCAGGCACCAAGGAAATCACTGTCCTCAATTTGTAATAGCTGCAGTTCCAAGTGAAACCAGAAACAAGATGCCCAAATTGACTCACAAAAGCCTAGCTCACCTTGTAAAAAAAAACAACCAACCCTGCCGTTTTCAGGAATCCTGAGCACTGCGCAGCATCTGGGGATTTAACACCAGGTAATAAGGGAGCTTATTAAAGTTTTGAACCTAGTGACTTGCCTAAATTAAGAGAACAATTTGTGGGAAGTAACCCCAAGTCTCACTTGGCTTTAGCAGCTAGAAGAACGCTCCCTCCTTTCCATACCCACCCTCCACCCAAAAAACCTGCCAGTATTTTGAAGCACGCTAGGTGAATTTTTTCCTCAACCATCAAGCGAATGACTGCTTAATACTTCTCAGAGTTTTGGGGAAAAAAAGTTACAGCATCTACCACATGACAGAAGGCAGGAACTCCTCAGTAAACAGCAGCCAGCGAAAACGGGTGCTTCCTGCTTTCCCATTAGACCACGACACTTATCATACACGTGAATTTCCCATTTCCTAGAAAATCCTGGCATCTCAAAATATTTTCCCACTACCTTATATAGCAACCTCCTGTGGTTCCCTGCGCGTTTCCCTTTCGTGTTGAAGCATTTCTAAGAAGCCAAAACTTCCGGCGCTCTTACGAAGCAGCAACACACCCACACATCAAAACTAATCCCGACTGAAAATGGAAAGTATAATTGCCTCCTGTTACCATAACTAGACTAAACAACAGTTTTCCAGCTTTTTTTTCCTGATTGTTTTTTTTTCCTAAACAACTTTGTTGAAAGCAACAGGCCTTTACTCTAAAACTAAAGTTACTATTTTCATACGGAAACATTCCTGGACAGTATTTTCAACTTGCTCCACTTCTAAGCAAAAAAATCTTTTCATGTGCCACAGGCATAATTATTTTGGTATGGCTTTTAACAATCATCTCTGTGGCGCCAAGGATGATGATACACTGTGAGCAAAGATCTAATGCGGATATATTAGGCCAACAGCTTGCCACAGCTGTCAAAAAAAGGAAAGGCCCAGTTTCCCCGTTCCCAAGCTCTCCCCATCCCTTCCCTTGGGCTGACGCTGGCACTTGTCTGACCACAGAGCCGACCAAGGCAACGCGCTGTATTGCCCAAAAGCTTTTCCAGATTTATTTTTAAAATCAGGTTTTTAGCAAATGGAATCAGTTTGCAACAAGGGTTCACTCAAAAAGCACTGCAAAGGGAAGCAGGGCGCTCTCTCTGGGGAGCAGCCAGCCAGCGGCCCATGTAACTTCATCCTCAGCACTCCACCTTCTCCAAGACACTCTGTCCTAACCCCAGCTCTGCTAGCAAAGGCAGCAGGAACACTCCTGCTGCACTATGATCTACCAGATAAAACGCAGAAGCAGCTACGTCGGCAAAAAAATACCTGAACTGCGTCACACAAGGCGTAATACTCAGACAACTGGGCTTTGCTCCTCCTACAGCACACAAGGCGTAATACTCAGACAACTGGGCTTCGCTCTTCCTACAGTTCAAAGCCACTGATCCTGAAACCCCCAAGTTGGGGTTGTATGGTGCTCTCACAATCACAGACGTCTAGTTGTGTTGTACACCGTAAGGCTTTTGAATCTCAAACGGGGCCCTTTGGTTCTGATTTTTATAGCTGGGAGTTGCAGTCAGCTGTCAGGCAGTGCGTACTAGTCCTACCGGGAAAAGAACAGAGGGAAAAACATTCACTGAAGAGTGGTAACCTCCAGAAACAGGTTTCCCCAAGTGTCTTCAAGAATGGTTCTCAAGATCAGAGAGAAGCTTAACAAAGATGAAACTCCAAACCCATTAAAAATAAGACCAGCTGACTAGATGGTTTAAAGACCTGCCCCAACGCAGCCTGTCAGCACTTGAGTTTATCTCCAGTCACGCGTCTCACACGGCAACTGAATCGGGTGATTCATCACGTACAACAAAGGGGAAAAAAAGAGGCCAATTATCCAAACGGGGCTGGTACACAGACACATTTCTCTTTCCTGACTCCAGAATATAAACAAGTCCTCAAACTTCCAGAGCACATTTAATATTTCTCTGTTAAATGGCGCAGTATGCTCCCTGGGTTATATTTATTCTACAGCTTATATTGTGAATACGGTTGACAAGTTCTCATTGAAAGAGTCTGACGACTATCTTGGTTGTTTCCTCCCTTTCCAGGTTGGGACTGGTTCATTTTCAACCAGATGATCTGTGAAGTTAAGATCCAAATACAGTAAGAGGAGTCAGAATTCTTAAATTTTGTAGTTATTCTAAAACTGACTCTATGATTGGTACCAAAGTGCATTTCTTAAATAGCGACGATTTTTCTCTCTTTCACCCCACAAGATCCTCTATTTTATTGTACATTGCAAACACATTCCCCCAAGCAATAGAATCCAAGTAGTTACTTGCAGGCAGGATACTTCAGCTTCTTCCCTAACTGAAATTACGGTATTTGAAGCCAAACAGTAATAGCAATAGAAGGAACTCTGGTAACTCTTGACAGATGCAAGATATTCAGGAAAATATTTAAAT